GGAGAAAGCAGGGTTCTAACACTGCTTCGTTGAGAAATGTAAGCGAAATCTAAACAGATATTTCAAATAAAATGTTTTTGCCATTTACACATTCTGTGCGACCAAGCGCCACCTGATAGCTTACATTTAATGTGTTGAGGGTTCCAGAAAAAGCTTTTTTATTTGCTTTAAAAACCACACCTTACCTAATATATATATATATATATATATATATATATAAACGAGCCATTTTGATATTAAAAAACCGACAATGTTTCCTTGGTCGTCACGCCACGAGTGGATATTACGTTCACCTATGATTAAGTAACATGAATGCGAAGTTTTAGTAACGTGACAGTTACACAATGACACACCTTCCACTAAAAATTCGAAGCGCATTCAGCGGCAACGCGACACGAACCTTGATTTCGTCCGGCCCTCGTCATAACGGATTCAACATTTTTATATATCTCTTTACATCGAATACCAGTTAAAACTTCCTTTGTTTGTTCCTAAAGTATCAAGCTGAATTTATTATATCTAAACACTTTAACACTATCTCAAAATAACTCGATAAACACTTACTAAGGTAATATCAAATAAAATAGGACCATTCCTATAAATTTTTACTTTTCATATATTCAATAATGCTTATGCAAATAGCGAAAATTAAATAAAACAACTGTGAAATATCAACGACAAAAACTTAAACATCATGACTGCTCTTCAATCTACTTATCAAACTCTCTACTCAATAGTTCTTAGACATTCTCCTGAAGAAATTAATTTGGGTAAAAAAAAATAACAAGTGAAGATAATTTTATTTGTAAAATTGGGGCGGAAATAACGAGATAACAAAACGGTAAAATATCGTTATTTTCTTACCCAAATAACAATAAATAACTTAATCTTCTACACCCATCGCACAATAAATAACTTCATCTTCTACACACAAAAACTGTTGGTCCTCGTTGTCAGGTTTACAATTTTCAATGTTTCATATATAACTAAGACCACTTGTCATAGTATAGCTCGAAAGGGAGCAGATTTTTTACTTTTTCAAAAAAATTCTCAAATTTACAAGAAACTTGTTAGATTTATTAGCGAGAGAAAAAGTGTGCGTCTGTCTACGCAACAAGTCTCAAAGCCGAACTATCATATTGAGGATTTGTAATTAATCGTTCATGGCCACGTATAGATTATGAAATTTAAACAGAACCAACCAAAAAATAACAAAACTTCCCCACTTTCATATTTACCACACTCGGCATCTTGCATACACCTCGTCAATATATGTCACGAGGTTGTACACAGGCTAACTGCACATAGTCGTCCCTAATTTAAAACTGGTGATCTGGTTGGAAAGCAGTTAATCAACAGCACCCATAACTATCTTCCTTTCTAATAATGGGATTCGAACCGTCATTTTTTTAAAACACCACAACCTCAAACTGAGAAGCAAGTTTTTTAACATCGGGTCACGAACCATGAATCGTCAGAATCACAGTCCGTGCAAGTACAACACTAGCCCACGCCCGGCCTATCTGCACTTCATGCTCACCGAGTACCAAAGTATGCTGGGTAACTATACTAAGCTTTGTGGGTATCTAGATACTTCAAACAAAAAAAAGAGTAGGTTTAAAGTGAATCGAATTTTTTTACAGTTAAGGTATAAAGATCTTTAGAAAGAAATGTTAGTTTAGTTTCAATTTTCGATAAACGAATTAGAAAAACACAGACCAATAATTATTTTATAGAAATGGTCTTTTTTTTTTAACGCGACTCAAGTCTCTGTTGATGAGTATGGTTCAGGCTTTCAGTTTAAAAAAAAAACTTTATGCGTTATTGTAACTACTTACTTTAGATGGGGCTGAAGGAAAGTAATATAGTTGACTTGTCAGTAAGACACCAATTCTGAATGCAACCACGTCAAACTTACAATCAATTAGTGTTTTTGCCTTTAGATTAAAAAAACAAAACAAATCCAATACAGATTCATGATCTGAGATCCACCAGAAATTCAGCACTGGTAAAAGAAAAGTACAATAAAATTCACTTTTCTTTTGATATTAAGGAAGTTAACACGAAAATGGGAACTACCAAACCACACGACCTAACTTACAGCAGCCTTCACCAAGTTAAAAAAATCAGTTTGTGTATTGCTCTTTTTGAGTGGTTTATACTTTTTAGATGAAGGTTCATCTCATTAAAAAAAAAGTAAATTTCTTAACTTGTTCTGACCTCAAAATTAGAAATATCTCATGACTGGTAAAAATAAACCAGTAGGTTTATCTTTTTCACTACCAATACACACAAGATTTGTATTTTTTTCTGGTTGGGTTTGAATTTTGAATCCAGTAGGTTTGTTCTTCACTATTAATCACACACAATATTTGTTTTGTTTTTTACGGTTGGGTTTGAATTTTGAAGTCAGTAGGTTTATTCTTCACTATTAATCACACACAATATTTGTTTTGTTTTTTTACGGTTGGGTTTGAATTTTGAAGTCAGTAGGTTTATTCTTCACTATTAAACACACACAAGATTTGTTTTTTGTTTTTTTAAAGTTTCAGGTTAGCTGGAATAGTACATGATTCAGTACCAAATGTCATTATACCAAGTTTATCTGAAAACAGTAAGATGGAGCAACTAATGATTTATTCAACCAACCAATAAGGCACAAGAAGAGTTACAATGGAAGTATTTCTGCTAGAGCAACTAATGATTTATCAAGTCAATCAATAAGGCACAAAAAAAGTTGCAAAGGAAATCTTCCTACTATATCATTTCTCAAGTTTAAATGCATGTTTATGAAATTAGTGAAACCTAATATTCCAAACATATCCAGAAAGTAGATATTTTTTTCCTCAGGAGTGATTTAGATTGGAGGATAATAACATCTATAAATTACCTCCTTAAAACATGTTATACAAACCACTGTCAAAGATGATCCAACAAGAAACAAACTTAAATTATTCATGTCAGTGTAAACACGTGTATTTTTTTTATCATAAAAGAGACCATACACAAAAGAAAAATATTTACAAGTATATATTTTCTCTATGACTTGCGAACACAATGGTTTCTCTACAGAGCAGTGCATAAAAAAAATCTTATAGTGCAAATTTTAGAACTTTATACAACATTATACGGCTTTAAAAAGTTTATTTGCTAGGATACATTATGTGATTTATGCATCAATCAGAATTCACCTTTTTCAAACAAGTTGTATACAAAACAATTTCAAACTTATTTGGAAAAGTATAACACAGTGTTTCGATTTCACAGAGAACTTGTACCTTACAGAACTGATGTTATAACAACAAAAGTTTCTAAATATATGTAAGAATACATAACTTTAACATTATTAACTGAGGGTTATAAAAAAAATCTAACTCTGTGTTTTCAAAAAAATCTTTTATTGGGAATTTCCCAACACATATTTAGGTTACTAGGGCTAGGGAGAAGGTAGCGTAATGAAGTCATGAGTTATATGAGAAGTTTAGATATACGATTCTTAATTTGATCAATACGAAATAAATCTATCATTCATTACATATAGTTTTTTAATTTTAAGGATTTTGTGCACAACTACACAGGGCTATCTGCACATAGCTGTCCCTAATTTTGAACTCACAGACTAGAGGGAAGACAGCTAGTCAACAGCACCCACTACCAACTCTTGGGCTGCTTTTGCCTGACCGAAGATTTTACCATCACCCTTATAGTACACCTGCTGCCTGAAAGCACAGCCTTAGGAAAAACCAACAAAAAATGTATTTTCCATACGTCAGACTAACAGGACTAACTTTATCATTTACTTTTACCCTTTCTTAGACATTTACAAATAAGTTACTAAACCATTATCAATACAGTCAATTATTATATTACTTTCTGTTCAAGGTTAAAAAAAAATCTAGATTGCTCAAATGTACATTTCTTTATTTCTATGCTCCTGCAAAATTTTCATGTTCAATTGTCCCTTAGTTTGAAAAGTTTAATCAACATTTTTTTTCTTGCAAAAACATTTATTATTGAGTCACTTTAAGTTGATTTTACTTAAAAACATTAAATATACTTAAATAAGACTTTATCTAACTGAATCTAATCTTTTTATTTATTCTCAAAATTACAAAAGCAATTAATTGTTGTTGTACTTTTTTTTATACAAAAGCTATAAAAAAAATATACTGACTTCTCAGCTCATTTGCAAATATAATGAATATAAATAAAGAAACAATATTTGTCTTTCTCATAAATGGTAATCCATTGGAAAGGGGGTAGGCACACATCCTTGGATCCATTAGTGCCACTAGAAAACTTAAGTTAAAAAAAGAATTACCTAACATTCTAAGAACCAAAATTTGTCTAAACATCTTCCTAAAACTTGTATTTTAAAGTGTATATCTATCGAAAAATATCATTGGAGCATTTTAATCACAAGATTTACTAAATAAATCCTAAAAGATGTTGGTTAAATTTCACAACTATATGATTTTGTGAATAGTGAAAAAATATTTTAGAAATACTATGTTTAGAAGTTATATTCTTCTTTCTTACAAATTCAATGTAATCACATTACTGAAAAATACAAAATACAGTTACTTAAAGCATAAAACTAATTAAACTTGTAATAGAAAAATTTAATATTAAATACAAAACATACAATACTTACAGTATAAACGTTTTTAAAGAAATATTTCTATAAAATGAAAAAAAGATTACAGTGGAATGTGACCAATCAAATGTTAGTTTTCAAATTTTCTGAAACCAACAGAAACTTGTTATCTGCATACAAATAAAACTGCATCAGTTATTTACACTAAACGTGTTTAATAATGTACACAAACACCAAATATTAATAGCTACTGTTTTGCTGATGTCCATAAAAGATAGGAAAGCAAACAAAACAATTAATGAGTAACTTCAAGTAATTTTCAAAGAAACCAATTAGTTTTATCAACTCAATGCTATTCTTTCTTGACACAGAACATATATTTCAACAAAATGTTATTTGGTTATGGGTTTATTATAGGTGACTCAATATATTAAGAAATGTTTTAATGATACTAAGCCATCAGTAATTTCCTGCCTCAATTGCCACTGGTCCCTATCAACATACAATTGCTATATACCACACCAACATTAAAATCCTCCTACCTCAATCACTGTATAACCATTCACAACAACCAGCCGCTATCCTAACATCAACAATTACCTATCTCAATCATTACGTAGGCTTTGACAACCAGCCATTATCCTAACATCAACAATTACCAATCTCAATCATTATGTAGCCTTTCACTATAACCAGCCATTATCCTAACATCAACAATTACCTATCTCAATCATTACGTAGCTTTTCACTACAACCAGCCATTATCCTAACATAACCAATTACCTATCTCAATCATTATGTGGTTTCTTATAAAACACTTACAATCCTAACATCAACAGTTGTCTATCTCAGTCATTACATGGTTCTTATCAAACCTAACGTTAACAATTACTTATCTCAATCATTACATGGTTATTATCAAACAACCACAATCCTAACATCAACAGTTGTCTATCTCAGTCATTACATGGTTCTTATCAAACCTAACATTAACAATTACTTATCTCAATCATTACACAGTTCTTATCAAACAATCACAAACCTAACACTGATAATTATCTATCTAATCATTACAAGGTTCTTATAAAAAAACTAACACAAACCTAACTTCGACAGTTATCTAACTCAATCATTGTATAGTTCTTATCAACACAAAGCCACTATCCTAACATAAACAGCTCTGAATCATTACATGATTCTTACCAATAAAGTGCTATTATCCAGACATTAACAACATTTCTCATAGATATAAATTTATCTTGTTACTTTTATCTATTATTTAAAAATAAAGATCTTTACCTTTTACACTATTCTTGAGTAATAGAAAATTTAGTCTGTCAAAATAATCTAAGATCTAATCTTTCAAAATTGAAAGAGAGAAAAGATGACTTAACTCCATATCTCATCACTTTTTAGTGGAAATAAAACCTTAATTACTACTTGTCTTATCTCATTCAAAAAAGTATAAACCATTTTCCATAACCATTTTCAAAAAATGCAACACAGTAAAATCTCTAAATTCTTTACTTTTTCAAAAATGTTTAAAAAACTTCTACATTTCTTGTTTACTTCATTAGTATACTCTTGGCCATTCAGACCATAAATATTTGGTAACATTACATTTGATCTCTAATTCTGTCCAGCATCTGGCAAAAAATATAATAACTAAATACATTCATAAAACAAATTATCTTGAAATCTACCATCAAGAACATATTCTCAAAGAAATGGTTTAAAAAAAATAGAGTAAAAAATATCTTGATATTTTCCTCGCTTGCACAAAGCTACAGAAATAGATCCATACATACAAGTATATCCTGTACAAAGAATGATAACAGTATCTAAAATATTTACAATTCACGTTCATATTCACAAATGAATTTGTACACTCAAACGGACTTAAACCAAGGAAGATGCCACTAGGCCTGATTCAGGTTTCAATTCTCCTTATTACTTTTTGTTTTGTAATATATCAAATAAAAAAAACAAACACACTCTATGTTTGAGTGTGTACACTGTTGCAACAGCTTCCCAGTGAAGCATTGTTCAGATTAACTATGAACTACCTATCAATACCCTATTAACTTTGTTTACAAGTCACAAGAAAAGGCAATTAAGATAATAAAAAAAAAGAAATTTTTTGTAAGTTATTAGGTAAGAAACAATTTATATCTGAACTAACCTCACTGAGTTTAAGAATAAGTATGCTTAAGAATACAATTTTTTTTATTTTTTTAAGTTTTAAGGTCAGAAACAATTCATATGCTGAATTAACCTAATTAAATTCTAACATCAGTTTAGGATTGAGTAAGCTCAAGAAGAAAGTTGTTTCACTGTCATAGGTAAAAACAGTTCAAACACAGGCACCATTCAAAGTGGCTCAGATGCTAGTGCTAAGTGTACAATCTTACTAATTATAAATTCTATTGCTTACTTTTATAAACAAGTGTAATACACTAATTTTCTCAAACTAAGAAGTCAAAAATGGCTTATGGACATTATAACACAAGTAAAAAGATAATTTAAAATTGTTTTTAATATTTTATAAATATTTTTCATCAGACACTATTTAATGCAGCATCCTCATTCAAACTCACATTACTGTTAACTTACTGTTACAAAACCTTTTAACCTTTGAGAATTGTGACTCTTGGGTAAGAAATCTGGCAAAGCACACAGATGATTATCAAATACCGGATCTACACCACCATTTGAATAGCAAATACATGGTTTACACCACCATTTGAATAGCAAATGCATGGTCCATACCAAAAATTGAATACCAAATATATGGTTTACATATCAAAATAATTACCAGACTTTCTGTCAATAAAGGACGAGAGTATCTAAATAATTACCAGACTTTCTGTCAATAAAGGAC